AGGATTGGGATTAGTAAATAGTTAATTAATCATTAATAAAGCATTAATAAGCACTTTATAAACACACATAAATACAACATTTAAATAGATTATTAATCATTTACTTACATTTGTAATTGATCTTGAACCACTGACGACTCCTAAATAATTGGTTTGTAAATAATGCAATACTTCATTTAGAAATGATAAACTGATCATGAAAATACAATTATTAAACACATTATGCTTATAAATCAAGAATAAGCATAAGCATTTCTAAGCATTATGCTTAGAAATCAAGAAATAAAGCATTTAAAGTATTTATAAATTGCTTATTCATGTCTATTAATGCTTTATAAATGATGAATTAACTGTTTACTAATGCTTAACTAATGATTAATAGTGTGCAGTCATTATAAAGTGTTACCATTTTGGAAAGAATTATTATTATTGCAAATTCTAGCTTAATAAAGAAATTCGGCGTTTCTATATTTGTTGACTAAACGGATGTCAAACATTTAAGCAGAAGCCTTTAAATAAGCATGTTTTTAAGATAATCAAACACCCTCCAGGATGTCCACAGCTATTGTACATTATGAATTGTAGGTGCGTGACATAGCTTAAATGATGAAACTGAGTTAAATTACTGCATTATAGACAATAATTGCCGCTTAACTACTTGCCTCTGAGACATGATTCAGCACATGAAACCATGAAAGTGTTTCTAGCATTTTGTCCCTGGACTCGTGTCTTCACTCCAGCGCCAGGATCCACATCCTCCATATCTGCAGATGGAGACGGCTTTCCCTCCGTTCCTCTGAGGATAATTTGTATTGATGTATTCCGACCGCTACTCCCTCTCCAAGTGCCGTTTTGTTTGTCCGCATCGGCTCCTTGAATTTTAAGTGTGGTAAGTAACTCACTCTTGCCAACAGATCTGTTTATTGGCTTCAGAATTATTCATAAAGTGCCACCAGTCACAAACGACGTCTTTTGGCTCCGGGTCGTTTGGGTCAATCTGAAGGATCCGTGTCACATTATGTATTCCAAAAATGTTAAAATGCCATCACTATATGTCTCCCTTTAGACTTCAGGAAAAGCCAAGTTTCATGAGAACAGGGCAATAGATGGAGCTACGAGCTGTTATTGAGGAAAAGCATTGATCAATATTGTTGAAATATTGATACGGTGTTTTTTAGAAGTCTGTCACTGCAAGAAGTCAGCAATTTTACATTTTGTTCAAATTGAGTTCAAAATGAGCAATAAGTGCTGTATGCAGGGTTCAAAATATTTATACGAGATTGTTGGAGATTTGGGTCTGTGGCTTTCCTTCATTAGCAGTGGATCACGACAAACTCTGGATCAGTCATCATACAGCCCATTATAAAACCATGGATGAGATTTGCAATAGCTATTGCTGAAGGACATTTCTAAAAATCCCTTGTCGATTCAATATGTTGTTGTAGTAATAAACTTGTACAATCAATTCCAGCTGTTATCAAGACAGATATATAGTCAAGTACTGTATTTAAAGATGTAAGATGCATTTGCTCATTTGCTTAAAATGTTTATATACTGAATTACTCACATTTTAGAAGTGTGGAGCTTGTACTGTATATTCTATATACAACGAACTGGGATTTCACCCAGAACAGGTACAGAACAGGTAACAGACAAGCCAATGAACATTGGTGAATGAGGTTTGCATACTGTATCAAGCTGCTCCCCCTCTTCCGGGTATATATAGCAGAGTGTGAATACTCATGTTAAGTTTTTTGCTGTGTACAGGTCAGAGTTTCCGCTAGAAAAAAATGGTGCCGGTCACTTGTTTAACGGACATTTTGATGATATGCCGGTCAAATATCGCCTCTTAATTAGTGAAGTTGAGGAAAACTGGAGGCAGGCTGTGTAACTTAAAAAAATGACATAATCAGGCCGTATAGAATGCAACATGTTTATTAGCATAACTTTCAAATAGACGGAAACCATGAAAATATGAACGTCCGATTGGCGTCAATCAACGCCAATTCTTTTTACTATGGTTTCACATTAGTTTAACAAACCAATCCCCCTTCCCCATACAATATCTGAATAGTGGTTTTTACTCAAGCGAACTTAATGATATACACTCTCAGCGTCTCATTTAGCTGGTAACATTTAAATTGGCCACCGTGAAATGACTCCTTGTCAAATTAATTGGAACAAACAAATGACTAGGCCTATAACACTGTCTCGTGTAATTTTAGGCTACTTTTTACGCTGTTTTGCAGTGCTGAAATGTGCAGCTGCCGACTTAAAATCAAAACTTCGCAGCGTCTCTCCACAACTTGCAATGCGCATAAGCCGCGTAACCTTAATTGTTCTCTGCAAGGCGACTTCGCTGCTTCGTCTTGATCCGATTCTGCAGTGAGAACCCCCTCTCTGCAGGAACACTCGAGACAGGGAGGCTATCTTGGCGAGCTTGGTCCAATCTGGAAAGATTTCGTTGAAATCGCGCCATCTGAACTTGGCATAACTTACATTCGCAGCAGAGCATGTGAGCGGAGTGGAGCGTCTCCACGTCTTTTCCCCGCCTGCAAAGTTGCTTGCATTGTATTCAGCATCCCCAAGCGAGTCTGCGAGCGCAGAGAGGGTTTTCTCCGAGGCTGGCCTGCTTTCAAGAAACCACAGCATGTGTCTGAAGCCTCAGACATTGTCCAAACTCGTGTTCTTGAAGGTGAACTCAATCAAAAGAACTAGGCTAGATAAGGAAAGCAATTCTTTTTTTTTTCTTCTTTTTTTTTTAAGTTTGAGACAATTTAAATTGTCATCCACGTGCTCGACTGCGCAAAAGTTCAGTTAGATATATAGGCGCCGCGTCTGCTGGCCTAATAGTTAATTTACTAAAATGTATTTAATATAACATGTTGATGTTGATGTAGATGATTTTTATTTATTAGGCCCATTGATTCGTTTAATTTTAATTTTTTTTTTTGAACAGATGATATAGGCCTAAGCCAATTTAAATTTTAATATAATATATATATATTTTTTACATTTTTGTTCATATTTTTATTTTAGTTAGGCTATATTATTAGGCCCATTTATTCGTTTAATTTTACAGCAGTTTGTGTGTACAATGGTTATTAACCCATTTACATTTTTATCGTGTGCGTTGGGCAAAAGTTCAGTTATCAAAATTCTGGCCTATAGTTAATTTACTTTTAAAACTTTTATGTACATTTTTGTGTATAAATTTTTTATTAATATTATTAGGCCCATTTATTCGTTTAATTTTACAGGACTTTTTGTGTATGCTACATTCCTGTTCTTGCTAGTCCTAATTTGTAATTTTAAATGAAACATTTCTGTTTGGAAAATGTTGTTGTTGGTCTTTAGTTTTTTGTAAGGTAAGGCTGAGCGTTAGCGTTAGGTAAGGTAACGCGGAGCGTTATTAACCAATTGATCCATATATAAGGCGCTCCGGATTATAGGCGCACTTTCGTTTTTTGAGAAAATTGAAGGCTTTTAAGTGCGCCTTATAGTGCGGAAAATACGAATACATGCCGTATTTAAATAAATGCACAAAAATATACATTTTTATTTAGCCTATATTTTAAATTTTAATAATGTCGTGTAAGTTTAAATGTTAGAAAAATAAATAATTAAAGAAATCTTTCCATACTAAAAGGGCACCGACGTTTCTGTAGAATGACCGTATAATAAATAAACAGATCCTACTTACCACTATGTGTCTGCGGATATCTAGGGATTCAGAAGGGCATCGAGGCAGTGAAGTAGATCCATGCAATCCTCGGGGAACCGATCTTGCAAGGTATCTATCAGATGTTGAACCTAGCGTTCCCTGGCTTTTTTGAAAGCTTGAATGTAGCGGTCGCTTGAATTGGTCACTTTGACATCCTTGTATGTGCCGTCTTTAATAACATTCAAACGGTAGAGCCTGTTCCTTTATAACATAGCAAAAGGTCGGTGTATTTTTGCTTTATATATTTTAGGCTTATTCTCTAATTCAGATTGTGTTAGGGGGGCTGGATTATTAGGCAATTTTAATCGGACAATTTGACCGGAGAGATTTAATTTTGTCGGACATTTCATTTTTTTTTCCCGGCCAATGTCCGGTAATTACCGGAGAACGGAAACCCTGGTACAGGTACAGGAGTTGTGGCGACTGGCAATGTTGTAGTCGAGACCAGCTCACTCTGAATCGAGTCTGAATCGAGACCGAGACAATAGAGTGTTGAATCTGAGTCGAGACCGAGACCAAAGAGAGTCGAGTTCGAGTAGAGACCAAGACCAAAGACAGTCGAGTCCGAGTCGAGACCAGAGAGGTTGGATAACCTAAGGTTGGGTCTCAAACCAGACTTAAAGATATCGTCAAGAATATGTAAACTATTTGGTGGTAACAATAAAATTGGCACCATACTCAAACAGAAAACCAAATATACCATGGATCATGTACACCGTAATGGTAAAAAGGCCACATAGTGGTGTAAAGGTAATTTTATTATAATTATGGCTTACAATTATTACAGTCAGTAAGTGCTCTTTCACATAACATTACTGCACATGAATTCTGTGCCTCTTATATGCAAACTGAATTATGGATGATAAGGCAGACATTTTCAATACATAGTCTCAAGTCATGCGCAGTTGCGCACAAGAAAGTCAAACAACAATTTAAAGAAATATTAACATACAGTAATAATCATGACAGTGTTGTTTACTTTTGAGTGGGCTTGAAAACACAACACTGGCGACTGGTGTTAACGTTAGTAACCTAGATGTTTCCTATCAGTCAGTCACGTTCGACGTTAGTCAAGTGATGTCACATTTATTTATTTAGCACTTTTTACAATACAGATTGTTTCAAAGCAGCTTAACAGAGATAACAGGAAAATAATAAAACAAAGTTTGTTTCCAAAAGAAAATCTTAAGTAAGTTCAGTGATCTTTCATTTTTCTGTTGTAAAAAAGTTATTAATTTAGTTTTATATATATATATATATATATATATGTAACCAGGTCAAAAGTTATCAAACCAATTACTGTACTGGTTAACTAATGCTCTAGGATAAGGGAAGTTACACCACAGACTGTTCCAGGGTTTTCTCATTAATTGATGGAATAGTACGCTAGCCCTTTAAGAAACGCGATGTGTGACATTCTGGAAGAATCGCGAGATTCTGCTGTGTACAGCGCGTGGTCACAACGTGATTTGAAGTGCGGCTCATGCGGTGGAGTGCTGAGGCCATTAGACGCCGATGTTACTGTTAAAATAACAAAAAAAGCACATATAGTAACTTGGAAGTCTCTCTTAGTGTGTTGTGAGGATTGTGTGTTGTGCTGAGGGAACTTTGAAATTCTGTCGACTCGAGATGCATACCTATGTGGAGAAATCCGATCGACAATAAATCTCGAAGCGTGAGTGATTAATCATAACTAATGTCAGTTTATTATTGAGAATATTTTGTTGTGTATGATGTAATCTGAACATTAAGTGATTGGTGATCATTTTGGTTGATTAAAGAGGGGAGAGGAGTATTCTTAAGGCCTCCTGAGTGTTTCCAGGCCGAGTGTGAAGCAACAGAGTGAGTGTTGTTAATTAATTAATCCTAAAAAAAAGTGTTGGCTGCTTATACGTGTGTTTATGGCAATCTGTTGATTGTTAAATAAGTGTTATACTGTGTTTATTGCTGTTTCAGAAGGAGAATTGAGTTCAGCATTCAATGTGACAGTGTGTACATGCTATAAAGTGTGTTGATGAACAGTAAGTTTAATTTGATTATTATAATAAGAGTCATTTGATTATTTCTTTGTGGAATATTAGAATGTATTAATGTTACTGGGAAATGTAACTTCATTTTTACATTTTTCATGCATCTTTTATGTAAGATAAGCAGCTTTATTTGGTATTCTGTGTTGACAAATCTTGTAACAATCTGTGTATGTGTTTTTCAGAATACGAGTCCACTATCGTTGTCTATGTTAATTAGATTCCAGTAGTTTATTTGTTAATGTGGTGACTGAGAACAGAAAGACAAGAGAGACTAGAGTTGATAACAAAATATCTTTATTGATTCCAACCAATGTAACAAGCTTTCCTGTCTAGTATCACATATTTGCATAGTTAACGCTGCGCTGTTTCAAGTGCAGTCTGGAATAAACGATCCCACAGATAATTTAAATCCCTGTGTCTAGTGTTGTCACTAATATTCACACCGGGCCACAGAGAATTTTGGTACCAGGAGTGGGGTTCCATTGCTAGTGTAGATAGGATAGCACTAAAACATAGACAACGGTAGTGGGAGAAACTGGTCGTGTGCTGACGCCTGGGAGTTCGACGGTGTGGAGTGTGACGTGCCTGGAGGGTCTGCGGAGAAGCAAGGGACCAGCTTTGGGAACGCAGACGGGTGCCTAATCGTCGACAACGAATTGGCCTTTCAGGTTGGCTGGCATTGACTGTGACTGTTTCTGACTCAGAGCCATTAGAAATAGGGACATTGCAAGAGCATGGACCAGGACGACGATGTGCCAGCTGCTCGGGCTGGAGCCAGCCGGGACGTGGACCATGCTGGGGCTGCGGGTCATGAGGATGAGGGTAATCCTGTAGCAGAACTGAAGTCACAAATTCTGGAGTTAGGTCGAAGACACGACCAAGTAATGTCAACCCTGGCTAATATGAATAATGCTACTAGGTCGTATGTTTATATTCCAAGGGAACGTCAAATTTTGCCATTCAGTGGTGATCATGTTAAAGATGGTCAATCTGTAGATGAGTTCATTGACGAGGTTGAACGTGTAATTCGGGTAAGGGGGTTGAATACTGATGACCAGTTGGATTTCATACTTTCCCATTTAAGAGGTTCAGCCTTAGACGAAGTCAAACTGTGTATGGGGGGGGAGACCAAACAACCCAGTGATCTGTTTTCATATTTGAGGGGGCCTTTAGGGAGAAACGCACTACCCCACAGTTGTTGCATGCTTTCTATGCACGTAGACAGCTAGAGGGGGAAGACATCCGTGACTTTTCTCATGCTCTCTCCCAACTTCTTAACTTTGCTCTCCAGCAGTCTAATAATGCTGTGTCTGACCCCCAACTCGCATTAAGAGATCAGTTTATCGAAGGCATAAGAGATGCAACCCTACGTAGAGAGCTGCGCAAGCTTGTCAGAGAAAAGCCTCAGTCTACCCTATTTAACGTCCGTGAGGAGGCCATGATGTGGGCTGTGGAGGACCGACCCCGTGGAGCTAATGTGGCCAGGAGTCGAAACATCATGAGTACATGTTCCGAAGGGATGTCAGAACCTTCAAATCCGGTCAGTTCTGCACAAAGTGACATGGTTGGGGCTCTGCAGGAGGTAGTCAAGATAATCACTCAGCAGGGTAAAGCGATTGGAGAACTCACTAATGCGGTCCGTGAACTCACTGTACAGAAGGTTGGGTCGAGTGGTAACACGATTGGCAATCCCAGAGTCAAGCCCAAGTATACAGATGATGGCCAACCTATCTGTTTGAGGTGTGAAGGAGTGGGACATATAGCTAGACATTGTCCTGCACCTCGTGGTTTCAAGGGTCAACCCACTGCCACCCAGAGTTCTACGGTACAGGGAAACGGTGTCCCTCCGTTGCGGTGAGCCGAGCAATGCGAGGGAAACCAGAAGGCTCGGGATGCAGTACGTTAACGAAAGAACGGTTCTTGGAGCGTGCTGTTGGCAGGTGCCCTGAAGTTGATATTTGCATTGGGGGTGTCCCAGTAAGATGTCTGCTAGACACAGGAAGTAATGTGAGTACCCTAACAGAAAGCTTCTTTAGAGAAAACCTACATGGAGAGGACGGGGACCTTCATTGCACCTCTAAGTGGCTAAGGATAACTGCAGCGAACAAGTTACCCCTGCCGTACCTGGGATATGTTGAATTGGACATCCAAGTGATGGGGCTAACTATACCGGAGTGTGGTTTCCTGATAGTCAGAGATGTGGAAGCTGCGGAGCCGGATCCAACTCCACCCGGTATCATAGGCATGAACATCACCCAGAGATGCAGAGAGTTAGCACTGACTGAGTTTGACACCACATTAGGAGGGAAGTTGGACTCTGTTTGGCGAGAAGCCTTCACCCGTGTACAGGAAGATGAACGAGGGAAGACAATGTCAACAGCCAGAGTTAGTTGTCGGGGCAAAACCCATATTCCAGCATCCTCTATAGCCACTGTTCATGCCAGAGTAAACAAGAGAACCCCTGATGTTAACGCTTGGCTCTTGCTGGAACCAGGAAACACCCCATTACCAGGTGGTTTGATTCCCATGCCCACTTTGGTGTCGTCCAGAAGTCGAGTGTTTCCAGTTCAAGTGGTCAACTTCTCCCAAGAAGATGTCTGGCTGCCACCTAAAGTCCCACTTGGAATACTTACCCACTGTCAGTGTGTTGAGAGTGAAGCTTGTCAGGTGAGATTCCAGCGTATCTCTGCTGATCACGAAGAAGTGATGGTCAATCAGAAAGACAAACCAGAGTCTGGTACTGATGTTTCTAATCTGTTGAGTCGACTACATATAGGAGGTACACCGGAACAGCAAGCAAGCCTGGGAGTGCTACTTTTGAAGTATGCCGATGTGTTTGCATCCTGTGATGAAGAGCTAGGATATACAGATCGGGTGAAACACGAGATCCACTTGACGGATGAGGCTCCCGTTGCTCAGCCATATCGCAGAATACCGCCGACTCAATTTGAAGAGGTTAAGGAGCATATCTCAGGTTTACTCAGGAAGGGTGTCATCCAGGAAAGCTCGAGTTCTTACGCTTCACCCATCGTTCTGGTACGCAAGTCGGATGGAAGTCTAAGGCTGTGCGTGGATTATAGGAGACTAAACTCGAAGACTAAGCGTGACGCTTTTCCATTGCCGCGCATTGATGAGAGCTTGGATGCGTTGGGAGGAGCAAAAGTTTTCTCCACAATAGATCTTGCTAGCGGTTACCATCAAGTGGCGGTCCATGAAAATGACAGACCGAAGACGGCATTCATCACACCGTTTGGCCTCTATGAATACCGGCGGATGCCTTTCGGGTTGTGTAATGCGCCTGCAACCTTCCAGAGACTCATGCAGGCTGTCATGAGTGACTTGGTGTTTCAGATTGTGCTCGTCTACCTGGATGACTTGTTGGTGTATTCGTCCACCTTTCACACACACCTGGTGAGGCTGGAAACTGTGTTAAGAAGATTAAGGGAAACTGGACTGAAGATAAAGATGGAGAAATGTCATTTCCTTCAGCCTGAAGTGAAGTTCCTGGGCCATCAAGTCTCACCCCAAGGCGTGAGCACAGACCCCGATAAGATAAGCGCAGTCCGGGAGTGGCCAGTCCCGGGCACTCTCAAGGAACTCCGATCGTTCTTGGGGTTTTGTAGCTATTACCGGAGATTCATCGAGGGGTTCTCCCAGATAGCTGGACCGTTGCACGATGTGGTGAACTTGTGCCTTAAAGAGACCAGCCACGCCAAGGCAGTTCAGCGGTATAAGAGCATCTGGACTCCTCAGTGTCAAGCGGCATTTGAGCACCTTAAGGACCGACTTACCAGGGCACCCACACTTGGTTATGCTGATTTCACGCTTCCCTTTGTGATTGAGACAGATGCGAGCAACCTGGGGTTGGGAGCGGTCTTGTATCAGCAACAAAACGGCAAGAAGGTTGTAGTGGCTTATGCCAGTAGGAGATTAAGAGGGGCTGAGAAAAATGATCGGAACTACAGCAGCATGAAGCTGGAACTATTAGCATTAAAGTGGGCAGTCACTGAAAAGTTCAGAAGTTATCTGCTGGGGTCCAAATTCACCATCATAACAGACAACAATCCCCTCTGCCACCTCACAACTGCCAAGTTAGGGGCCTGCGAACAACGTTGGGTTGCCCAGCTCGCTGTGTTCGATTTTGAAGTCAAGTACCGCCCTGGACGGTGTAACACTGCGGCTGATGCTCTTTCGAGGAGACCAGGATTAGATGAACCAGACTCTGCAAGCGAAGACGCCGAATTTGATGGTTCCGTGGCAATCTGTAACTCGCTCAGGACAGGAACAGCTCTGGGACCAGACCTGTTGGCAGCAGGAGTTGAGTGCAGCAAAGTCAGGCAGTTACAGGTAACCACAGCAGGAGAAGAGGATATTGAGTGTGAGAATACCCCCACTCTGCCCGGGTATTCAGAGTCAGAACTTCGTCAGTTCCAGGAGTCTGATCCAGCACTAAGTGTGTTCAAGAAGTTCTGGAGCAGGCAAAGGAAACCTACCAAGCAAGAGAGGATGGGTCTGGCCACAGCTGTACGATCCCTGTTGAAGCAGTGGCCAAAGATAAGAGAAAAGGATGGTCTGTTATACCGTGTAATAAATGATGTCCATGTTGGAGAATGTCATCAGCTGTTGTTACCCACCTGTTTGATAGATCAAGTCTTAAAGTGTGTCCACGATCAGATGGGTCATCAGGGTATAGAGAGGACCTTAGGCCTGCTGAGACAGAGATGTTTCTGGGGAGGAATGTATGAGGATGTGGAACAGTGGGTAAAGCGATGTCAACGCTGCGTATTAGCAAAGATGCCGCAACCAAAAGTCAAGGCACCCTGGGTTTCATTCTTGGCCACACGTCCCTTGGAGGTTGTAGCAGTGGACTTCACCATTCTTGAACCAGCCACGGATGGGCGAGAAAATGTTCTTGTAGTGACAGATGTGTTCACAAAGTTCAGTCAAGCATTTCCCACCCGTGATCAGAAGGCGGAGACCACTGCCAAGATTCTCCTCAGGGAGTGGTTCCTGAAATATGGAGTGCCGCAACGCTTGCACTCTGATCAGGGCCGGAATTTTGAGAGTGCTGTGATTGCGGAACTCTGCAAGTTATATGGAGTCAAGAAAACGCGCACGACCCCGCATCACCCCCAGGGAAATCCTCAATGTGAGAGGTTCAATAGAACCCTTCATGATCTCTTGAAGTCCCTTCCACCCGAAAGGAAGCGCAGGTGGCCTGAACACTTGTCAGAGCTGGTCTATGCATATAATGTGACACCACACTCATCCACAGGATACTCACCATACTATCTGTTGTTTGGGATCCAGCCACATCTGCCAGTTGATGCACTGTTGGGCCAGGAGCCTGTAACCGATGACAAACATGATTGGTTAAAAGTACACCAGGAACGCCTCCGAGATGCCCAT